GGCTATTGGCAGGTGATATAAACTTTAGGAGGATCCCGCTTGCAGGAAATAGGTCACTGGGGCATGCCTTGAAGAGGATATATTGTGTACATTGCCCCTTCCCCTCTTGCTCTCTGCTTCCCACCTTCCATGAGGTAAGTAGCTTTGCTCCACCACACACTCCCCACCATGACGCTCTGCCTCACCACAGGCCCAGAAACAATGGAACCAAGTGATCATGGATTAAAACCTCTGAAACCATGAGTGAAACTACATTTTTTTTCCTTTAAGTTGATTTTCTGAGGTTTTTGGGTTTTTTTTCCTACAACACCAGAAAACCAAATAACACAGGCACCTTGGAATTCATTGTTTCTCCCATCTCCAACAAAACTTGCTCTGAAGGCTTTTTCTTTCACATTTTATTTTCCTACTCAAAATATTCCTTTGTAGTCAGAGAAGCAGAAATCATTGGTCAGTTTTGAAGTCCTTAAGTGTAGGGACACATGACCAATGAAACAAACCCACAGAATGTGAACCATACAACCCAGATAATCAATAACTCAGAGGAAAGTAGCAGGTAGGATGAACTTGAACTTCAGGCCTGCACATGGTTCTTTTTTCTTAACTGGAAATCATGCTTAACAGAGGTATATAATAAACTGACATCATTCTGTTGTGGACTGTATTAGAGAGCGGGAGTGAGGAGGAGTGAATTTTCTGCAGTGGGATAGGAAGGAAGAAGCGTAGGGCAGAAGGGAGGGCAGGAAACTAATTTCACAATGGCCACTGAGGTGTACTGGGCAAAAACTTTCATGCCTCATTTGAGCTCCCTTTCTGTAACACTTTTCTCCTCATGGACACTTTCACCTGAGTAGGCCATGCAGAATCTTAACTTTTGAGAAGCCTCCAGAAGCCTGTCACTCTTAAGGGACATATGTGCAGGTAACCATGTTTCATTTTGTTTTTTAAAACTTCATGACTCTGGCCACCTTGGCCACCGTTTACTGCATAACTTGGATCCTATGAGAAGGCAGCTGTCTGCAGAGAGGTTGTCATCAGCCTGCGGGGTGGTGTGAAATGAGAACAGAGCACTCAGTGCACAGTGGGAATGTCTGAATGACACCCACAGAGGAGCTATTGTCAATAGGACAGCATAGAATCAGGGAGACAGGGGAAGATGGAGAAAGTAGGACCCACAGGGTAGTAAATCCCATAAATGAGCAGAAGCTCTGGAGCAAAGGCAAGAATTTCAGATAAGGAAGAAGATGTAGGCAAAGTAAATGAGCAGATAGAAACACAGTCTGGCCAACTTCTCCACGACACTCGGTGCAGAGCTGGGACAGTTTAACTACTGTCCCAGAGCGATGAGGACAGACACATGGCCTTCATCCCAGCCCACTGTAGTAGTCACTGGCCACATGTAAAAGTGATATTTTGGATTAATATGCTTATTTAATACATTATTTAAATCAATTTCACTTTTTTTTTTCCTGGTAGTGGCGATTGAACTCAGCACCTTGTGCTTAGAAGGCAAGTGCTCTACCACTGAGCTACATTACCAGCCCTTTTGTTTTTATTTTGTTTCTGAGCTATAGGCTTGCTGACTTTACCTAGATTGACCTCAAACTCTCAATCTTCCTGCCTCTTTCTGAGTCTCTGGGATTACAGGTTTGTGCCACTACTTCCAGTTCTTTTTATTTCTTTAGTCTGGCTCCCAGAAACTCTAAAGTGAGGTATGTAGCCACATTGTATTTTTTCTGGGCAGTGTTGTTCTAGCTTCCCATGAAGCCATTTTAGTTGTGAAGTTTTGTTTTTTTTTTTAATCTATCACTTCTTTAAGAATTCTAATAATAAGTCTCCAATCACTGTAATCAACTAGAACAATCTTAATAATCCCCCCCCATACACCCAACCCCCATACACCACTAGAAGAACCCTCCTCCACAGAAATGACCCAGATTTCCACACAGGCAGCATAGCATTTAAATAAGACAGCCACCTATGTTTCTAGTTCCCTCACCACCTTGTGACCCAGTCTTCATGCAGGCCTTCTCCAGCTTGGGCAACAGTTGACGGACCAGTTGGGGTCCTCTAGCACGGAAGGAGCCTCCATACACATCCTACAGAAACTATTGCAGGGGCTAACTCTTGTAACGTTTTGAAATGCACATATTGGTGCATTTATTTTTTATTACTTTGATGATATCACCGCTGACCACAGGTATAAAAATCCAGTTCCACTGTCTGAATCATATTGAGAAGTCATGGTGTTACTTTTATTTTCTGTTCAGTAAACTGATTAAAGTCATGTACTGTCAGTGTGGGAAGAGACTAGGAGCCATCTTGTCCAACACGTGGGGTTCCCTCCCTGGCCTCTGCATCCCTGATTTTGCTCACTGAAGCTGTGTACTCTCTTCCCTGCTCCTTGGGCTCCGTGTCTCCTGCCCACTGGCCCTAGATTCTTCTTCCAAAATTGCAGTTATTGGTTCCATTTTTCTTTCCTAAGAAAAGTCTTTTAATTGAGACTCTTCAAGTCTTTTTCAGATTGAATATCCTTTTTGTTTATCTTGGTCCTTTCTAAAAATAAAATGGGGCTTAGCTTTTTAGCCTCCTTGGCTGCCCTCTTGGGAACCTGCTCTGTCAGCGTCTCCCCTTACAGTATGGTGTAGACTTGAACAGTCTATGTCATTGTCTAAGTTACACAGAAGAGAGAAGTGGGTCTTTTGCCTTCCCTATTCTGGTTACTCCCGTTCTATTTAAAGAACTGTAGGAGCTTCCCTGACCTGACTTTGTTGAATCCTGCTTCCTCTTCTCACTACATTACTTTTTCCTGCTCTGAGAAAATCAGATTTAGAAAGCATTCTATGTCTAGGAAGCTTTTCCAATGGTTTGCACCCTTAACTGTGCCTGAGAATTGCCTGGAAAGTGTACTAATACTGTTAGCTGGATCCTGTGCCAGGAGGGGAATGGTCTGGCCTCAGGTGATTTTTATGGTTCCAGGTGATAAAATATGCATCCAGGATTGAACTACCAAATCTAAAGAAACCTGAACACCCCCCCACCCCATATTGATTACAGTCACTTTTTTCCTTGAACTGTGAATCTGAATTTTTATTTTGTCTTAAAGCAGCAAAACTGATTTGGCTAACTGTAAACAATTTGAGATTATTCAAATCATTTGGAACTTGGACCAAGTGGAGTTAATTTAGTGACACCTGAGATTTAATTGAAAATCGGTTTAAAAAGAAGATATAATTCAAGTCTTCATTTAATAGCTGGGTGACTTGAGAGCACACACTCCAACCAGATTAAGTTTCTTTATAAAATGAAGGCCCTGGTATAGAAATCCCTAAGATGCTCCAAATTTCTGATTAATTCCAGGAAAGAACTTGCAAGTGAAAAAAACAAAAAAACAAACAAGCAAACAAACAAAACATGTAAAGCTATATCCTGCTTCCATTTCAAAAGGATGGAAATTTAGTTAGGGAACATACAGAGGTAAAACTATTAAAATATTCAACTTGTTACTCAAATGTTATTCACAATATTTACCCTGATATTAAATGCCATCACACTTAAAGGAGAACTGACCTTAATTTTTTTCCTTCAAGTGGCCAATGTTCCCTCAGTCTTCTGCCCTGTGTCAAGGCCAAGCTGACTCTTGGGTGGGTCTGTGTTTTCTGGAAAGGCAGCTGAGTATATCAGCAAAATCAAGTTAGAGAGTTGCCTCTACTAATTTATGCTTTGCTTTCTCATTCATTTATAAAATATAGATGAGTTGAATCTCCCTGTTTGTGATCAGAGCTGCTGGTAAGATGTGTTTTAAATTGACACTGATTATGGTATACATACAAAATGGAATATTGGAGCTCGGTGCCGGTGGCTCACACCTGTCATCCTAGCTACTCAGGAGGCAGAGGTCAGGAGATTGCAGTTCAAAGCCAGCCCAGGCAAATAGTTCCATGACACCTATCTTGAAAAACCCTTCACAAAAATAGTGCTAGTGGAGTGCTAGTGGAGTGGCTCAAGGTGAAGGCCCTGCCTGAGTTCAAGCCCCAGTACTACAAAAAAAAAAAAAAAAAAAAAAAAAAGGAAAGCCTAAACTGGCTGTGTCTGGCTCACACCTGTACTCCTAGCTACATAGGAGGCAGAGATCAGGAGAGTCGAAGCGAAGTGAGCCCCAGGCAAATAGTTCAAGAGACCCTATCTTGAAAAAACCCATCACAAAAAACAAAAAGGCTGGCAGAGTGGCTCAAGCGGTAAGAGAACCTGTCTAGCAAGTGTAAGACCCTGAGTTCAAACCCCAAAACCTCCAAAAAAAAGTGGAAATCCTACCATTTGTGATCACACATTTGTATGAAGCTGGGGGACATAATGAGAAATGAGAGAAGCCAATCACAGAAAAAAAATATTTATGATCTCACTTAAATGCGAATGTAAAAAGATTGAACTCATAGAAGCAGAGGATAGAATGGTGGTTGGAGGGAAGGAATAGAGAGCTGTTGATCTAAGGGTACAAAATTTTAGATAGAGGAATAGGTTTTGAGACCTATTATATAGCATAGACTATGGTTAATGTAATATATATTTCAAAATACCTAAAAGAATAAGTTTCAAATGTCTCACCATAAAAAAAAAAATAGGTAAGCAGTCACGGATATGTTAGTTAGCTTGGCTTAGTCGTTCCACATTGTACATGTACACCAAAACATCACCCTGTAGCCCAGTCACTAAAAATGACTGAACATGAAATTAAAAATCTAAAACAACATCAAAAATAAATTCAAAATGTTAAAATTATTTTTACTGTCTTTAAAGCAGTTTATTCTGTGTTGATCATGCCATGTTTATGAATCAAAACAAAAAGAAGCCAAGCTTAGTGGCATATACCTGTAGGCTCAGCTACCTAGGAGGCCAGGGCAGGAGTGCAGGAGTTCAAGACCAACCTGGGTAACATTGTGAGGCCTGGTATTTTAAAACACAACAACAAAATAAAAGTAGAGAAACAGAGATATACATACCAGGAATCCTATTGAGTGTGACCCAGAAATGTTCATCAGGACTATAGGTGTCTTTGGACCAGGAGAGTAAGTCCAGTGCCTGCTGGTCTTGGAGGACAAAATTAGCAAATTCCCTTGTGAGGGCCACATAGGCAGTGCCAAAGTAAATGGTCAGATTATGAGGAGGAGGGGTTTTTAACTTTTTTGTTTTTTGCACGTAGGAATTTTTGCTGTCTAACAGTTCCCGGTGGACATACTTAGTCCGCCCAATTGCATGAGCTGGGGGCAGCACTCCTGGGGTTAGATTCTTCGCTTTGAGTCCTTTCAGGTACTGGACGATTTCCTTGTTGGTTTTCAGAGGGAAATCTTGCCCACAGGTGTTGATGAGGTATTTCCACGGGACCTCAGAGGCCACAAGATCCTTCATGCAGTTCAGGTCAGCCTGGAGTCTGGAGATCCCGCCATAGACAACTGGTTCTATCTTAGAAGCCAGAAAAGCATTTGGGAAGCAGCTGAGCAATTGTTCCACTGCATCTTTGAATTCAACTGCTGCCTTCTTATCCACATGCACACAGTAGACATTTTGGGGCATGTAAATCGCTCTGAACAATCTCTCAAATGTGCCAAAGTCTTTGTGGATAGTCAGTGTGAAAGCCAAAGGGAAGCCAGCTTCTTCTTGAGAGAGTGTTTGTGTTATATAATGACTTTGAACCCTGTACTGATAACAGGTAGATTCATTGAGGGTGGTTTTCAGGGTGTTTTCTGTTGGGTAAAAGCCCTCTCCAGCAAACATCTGAAGACAGATTTCTGCTAACAGTGAAGCGTTGGCCGGGGCGGCCCTCAGAAAATGCATATTATTCTCGCACAACTTGTTATTGTAAATAAATACAAAAGTCAGGGCAGAAACAAGAGACATGCCAAAAAGACAGAACTTCCAAGAGCCCATCATTCAAAACCAGGAAATGAGTGAGAGGTCCCCTGAGCTATGATCAGGGTGCAGAGTCAACTTACATTTTCTCCAGGTACCAACATCATCCTGTCATAGCTGTGATTCGCTCAGCTGCTGACAGGTCTTGTCTTTTTTTCCTCTTCATTTATGACTTTGCTACATTTTCACTTTTCTCTGACATGTTTCTGAAGTAGCTTCTTTGCCCGATCTCCCACTAACTTGCAACCTGTTACTACACAAAAACACACCTCCTCAGGAAGGTTCAGATGCTGATGAGGCTTTCTGTCCCTACTGTGAAATCACTAGCTGGTGAGGTGACCTGACCGATCGATCGGCAAGTCATCGCTTCAGAGCCGGCCCCTTTTTCCAGCCGAAGGCTGGTAACTGTGCCTGCGCCCCAGCTTCCTGTTAATCATTGCATTCAACTGACTAGGTTTGTTTGCTTAAACAGCACTGCCAAGTTAAAAGCTTCAGCTGGAAGCATGTGAATACTGCCTGGAGAGATATTCTGTCAAAAAAAAAAAAAAGTCATGCTTGAAAATAAATCGCTTAACCTTGTCTTTTTCCATGCCACCCCCCACATTGGCTGGGTATACTCTAGAGCATAGTGTATGATTGGCTATTGAGCAAATTCTTCCCACAGTTTAATTTTCTCTGCTGCTAGGGAAGGTCCTTAAACAGACATATTAATTAGCAAGCTGACCTCACCATCTAACTTACTATACAAAGTGATGGGGGTATTCTCATAGATAGAGGCTAACTTAAAAAACAAAGCAAAACAAACAAACAAACAAAAACACCAAAAGAACTAACAGCTTGTTATCACCCAAAAATGGCATGGAAACTAAAGCTAAAATCAGTGAATGTCAAGTTCATTTTGCCCTTGCTCAAGTGGGATACCGAGGGAGAGAAGATCTGTCTCAGTTTCAAATGTTCCAGAACTTAAGGAGAGAGGCTCTCAGATTCAGATTTAGAAACACTTTTATTTATTTACTTATTTTTCAATCTATCTTTTTGTTTATTTATAATTTATTTAGACAAGAGCTCACTGTGTTGCTCAGGCTAGCCTTGAACTTGAACTCTGGGGCTCAAGCAATCCTTCTGCTTCAGTTTCCTGATTAGCTGGGACTATAGGTACAAGAAACCACATCCAGCTCTGATTTATAAACATTTTAAAAGGCACTTCCTTATGTATAAAGAATGAAAACAGGCTAAGAGTGGTGGCAGAGGAAGAGAGAGAGAGCGTGTGACAGAAAGAGAGAGAGAATGACTTTACTGCCGTCGGTCAATCATGACAATGAACATGAGATGTACAGCAACAGATGAGGTTGAGAAAGATGAGGCAGAATAATATGAGAGTGGCAATAAACCCATTTACACACGCACCCTCCCCTCCGCACTCACACTTAATACTTCAAGAAAATGACCCAGTTACTGGCTCTCCTTCGAAATCTCCTTAGTTCTTCCTTACACCTTCCTCCATGGGCCCACGTCAATTAGATTACACAACTAGCACTGGTGAGTTCTGTATTATGGGAGAAGCAGCAGCATAGGGATGTGAAACCCATGTCCCTGATAGCACTGAACTTACATGTCTCTCATTTGTTCTCTGCTCCAAGCATTGTCTGTACATAGTAGACAATCAGATATTTACCAAAAGAATGTCCAAGTGTAAGAGGCACTCAAATTGATTTTGCTGAAAAGCACTGACTTGGGCACATGAATTAACTAAGAACTAGAGAAGCTTGGAATCCCTGCTTCCATTTTGTATTTGTCTTTGCAGTCACTTTGCAATCACCTTGGAATCCAGAAAAGAGAACTGATAACATCTTCACGACAAGTGACTAAAACTTCCCATAAGGGACAGCGGAGACTTGCAGGACAGACCACTTTCCAAATGAAGACCATTAATTATAATGATGAGGCTGTGTCCTGGAGCAGAAGTAATCATCTCATAAAAATCAGATTGCTTCCCTCAAGTGATGACAGGGATAACATCTTCTCTGGAACCTCTCCGGGAACCCTTGGACTGAGATAGTGGTCAACCAGAACATTTGTGACTGAGAGTTTTTAACTATGTATACCTTTATCCCCTGCCCCCAGTTCTTTTGTCTGCTTAAACCTATATCTCATGTCTGTCCCCTGAAGGTGGCTGAAGATGAGCTGAGTGCACACTCTGCCTCTCCCCACAGCATGTCACAAGCTGTAATAAACCTCCTTTCTTTGCCTTCACTGTGCCTCTTTATTTGGTATTTAGGGGCAGTTGACCAGACCTGGCATATGGAATCTCAGGAGTTTGGGCCTTGGGTCCAAAACTCCAGTTTCACAAGTTTCATTTCTCAGTTTCCCTGTTCACATTAGTGAGAGATTCCAAGCAATAATGATTTGAATCTATGGATGTACCTCATTCAATGTGCTTATTTCTCCAATCCATCTTCTTTATTATAAAAATTGCATAATATTACAAGTAGTTTGCAAAACCCTGTTTTCACATCCTGTACTTTCCTTTGCCTTTTATATTTTGATTGTCCTAAGAACAAAGGGGGAAACCCCCAGTGTGGCTCAGTGGTAGAGTGCTTGCTTAGTAAACATGAGGCCCAGGGTTCAATCTCCAGCACCAAAATAAGACCAAAAAAAGGCTGGCAGAGTGGCTCAAGTGGTAGAGAGCCAGCCTACCAAGTGTGAGGCCCTGAGTTCAAATGCCAGTACCACCAAAAAAAAAAGAAAAAAAACAACAAAAAAACCCTGAAGTCCCACAGGGAAAGATGCAATTGTATATCTTGTTATTTATTCATTTGTCTGTTCATTTATTTATTTGCATCCTGCTTTTTACACTTGAAACTATTGCATAACATCGACCACAGTGTTACTTGTCCTTCATATTATTCAAATTATTATTCCAGTTCATAAGACTGGAGTCAGTTTTGGTTTTGATTTCTTCACCTCGGCTGAGAGCTAATGCATTTCTGAAAGTGTTGCCAGCTTTATTTCACATGAAAACTTGTCATCATTTCCGTCATCAACTCTGGGAAAACTCTCCAGAGCCATCAGTCTTCAGTTGTTCTGGGAATCAGTTTCTACAGTGTGATTCATCTGTACACAATCTTATCTACATCATCCCAACACAGAATTCAGTCAACCCAAATATCTTTTTCCTTAATACCCATCATATGTCTAGCTAGAATGCTTTTGAACAAACCACTACCTCAATACAGATAAAAACAACTTTTTTTCAAAATAACCTAAAATTTCTCTAGCTTGTATTTGATTTTTAATATCCCTCTATGTAGGAAGTGCCCACATCAAATGAAGTTGACTACAAGGGTGACTAAATGAAGGAGTCACTGCCTGATTATGCTTGTCTGAACTAATCAAATGATTTTACTGACTTGCTTTGTTTATTTTTGCTGTCATCTCAATCCTGGTCCAGCTCTATCCCTCCAGACACCGCAGACATGAAAGTATCTCAAACCATCTGCTTGCTCCTCGACTTCACAGCTCACTAGGCTTGGCTACAGGACAGTGAACATCTATCTGCATTTAATGCTTCAGTTCAGTGGAGTTGACTTGGGCCTTACCTCAAATGGGTCCATTGATTTGGAGCTCTGGAAACATTCATGATTGTTTACAGGAGTGTATTTGATAATGAAAGCCATTTTTAAAAGAATGACTATGAACCTATTTTCTTTTTCATCAACCTGGAGCTATTTCATGCTCCTCTGGCTGGTGCTCTGGGAAGTGCTGGTTTTCATTTCCCTCTGGCTTTCCCAATGACCTTTTGCACTCTATAACTAATTCTTCTAAATCTTGGGCTTTCTGCTCTTGCATTTAGGTGATGATAATGAATAACTCAGAAGAACAGAGAGAGTTCATTCCAGCTTAAACATTAGATCAAAATTGAAACCCCAAATTATTCTAGGTTGGAGACAGTGATCAGGTAGGATAAAGAATTCTGAAAAAGTCTGGAACCAGTATGGACCTACAGGTGGACACCCAGTAAATAGAAGGGGGTGTATTCATGTTTCATAGGTCAACCTATACTTTTTATTTCTCCTTGAGGCATGATAATAAACTCTCCCTCCAGGACGTCGCCTTGTTTTTATTACACGAAGATAACTATATTTATAGTTTATGATGTCCAAAGTACTTTACACATATTCATTTTATCATGACATCACCCATGTGCCCAAATTAGAAACCACAAAAGCCAATGGAAACTTCCTTAGTGTCTATGAAAGCCTGGTGCTGTTTCAGAAAAAAACCAGCTTGGATTAAACTGATCTTTTACTCTGAAGTGCATTGACTTTTTGTCTTTGTTTTCACTACTTCAGTTATTTTCCTACTCTCCTGCCTTCCATCTCTTTCTTTTCTCCCTTATGTATTTGCTATTGTTAAATTCAGTAGTGTTTTGCTCTTCTGGATATTTCTTTACAACCACAGGAAACAGCCTGAAGCAACAGGATTTAAAATAGCCAGGAAGCCTGGTTTAAAAGTTCCTGGATTATGTGTCAGAAAGTCTCCTGGTGAACGGAGGCCATTCTTGACAGGCAAGGAGCTCCCGAACAAGTCATTTGATCTCGCAATGCTGCTTCCTCTTGATTGAATTTGAGAAAATACCTCCACGGATCTCACAGGCTGGAGGAACTGTGCAATTCACCAAAGGTCTCCAAATCCCAATCTACAAAACAAGACTACATTTGTCTCCAGGAAGACTCTGGAACTAAAGAACCTCAGATCTAGCTCAGGTCTGGCCGGTGATGTTGGAGTTAATTTCAGACCTTGAGGGAAAGCCTTGGGGAAGAAAAAGGTATGGAGAGACAATGATGGGTTGCGTAGTTTAACTTCAGATAACAGGAAACTGGAAGAGAAAACTGGTCTTCCCAAACTCAATTAGTTAGTCAACTAATTGAGGTAATGCAAGCTTGAGGCTGAAGGTGAAAGATAAAGGGCTGAGAGTGCTCTTTAGAGCTGCATTTGCACATGGAAAGTTCCCTGGCAACCCCAGGCTTTTAAATGCCAAGTGCTAAAGGAGGCGTCTGAGCTCAAGAATGATAGACATTTTAACAGCCTGACTTTTCCCTGTTGCAGAAAGTCATCCTCAGGCTTCATTTGGGTGTGTTTTATATGTCAGGTATATTTTTAAACACTGGGTATTATGGGGAGAAGGTAGAACAAGGGCCTAATCCAGTGCCAGCTTGACCATTTTCCCCTTTATAGATTTCCACTCTTTTCTTTATTCCCCAGCAAGTTGTCGATGTGACTTTGATGTTATAGGACTGGTGAGTCACTGCTAGAGACAGAGGGAGATCTTGAGCTTGTGGTCACAAAAAGTAGCATTATGAAGGAATGTCGCCTCCCTTCTTCCAGTTGCAATGTGCTGTTCAGGCAGAATTGAGTGCAAAGAAGTGGATCCCCTCTGCCCTAGGCCCCCAAACTCTGAAATTGCAGTCTCCATGTCACCAACCCTCCCCATGTCTCCTCAAGCAACATACTGCTAACGACTTTGTATTTGGCCAATGTTTTGCCAGGTAGGGATAGACCCTCCTTGAAAATAAGGAAAGTGAGAATTAGCTCGGAGTTTGATAAAACAGATCTGCTTAGTAGGTCCGTCTTTATTTTAGAAGCCAAGTTTTCATAGGATTTCAACACTGCTCTACTACTTTTCTACATGGCCCAGAGCTTTACCTGTTTCAAACAAAGTTCATACCTCCTAGGAATATTCCATGAGTGAACTAAGGAAAATAAAGTCCAGACGGTGCCAATATCTTACTAAATTGTGGAAACATTTCCCCTTGCCTGAAGGAAACTGTAGAACGTAAGGTAAACCATTAAGTTAGAAGTGAGCAGTGTCATTTCATAAAAAGTTAAATGTTACTAGGATCTATATGGATAGTAATGATTTCACAGGACAGATGAGAAGCCATGGTGCTCTCAGGCAATCACATCGTAAAACAACAACCAAAGATGCTGCTGTGTAAAAATCTTTAGCAACAAATCTTATGTGCTACAACCAAATGAGTCAATCACTTATTCAACATTTTTGTCTGGTTACTTTATGCCGGCACTGTGCTAGGTTCTAGAAATATAAAACGTGAGTGTAGCCCAAATGAGTACAAGCCTACTGGGTTTTAGCTGCCATCAGGGATTAAACAGAGGTAGTAGGGGACACTAGCTCCTTCTACTCTCCTCCCCCTTCCCCTAGTAGTTTTCAAGTTGGTCTCTCTGTTCCCAGGAGGATAAAATTGCCTGGAAGCATTCTACAGGATCACTCTTAGCCTATTGAAGGTAAAGGCGGTTTAATGACTGCATTGTATTTATAAAGTAGAAAAATAAAAGCTAGAATGCAAAAGAGCAAAGTCTGCCATCCTGTCCCCAAGCCTGCCCCCAGAGAAGAAAATGCGTGTCCTCTGGGAGCCAGCCTGGTGTCTGGATTCTTCAGGCTACTATAGACCAGGTGTGACTCAACACCTGCCCTACAGAATCCTGCAAGGGCTTCAAGCTGATGGCTTCCAACTCCAGCAATATTACAAGGACAGGCTGCTTAGGGAGATTACACCTGGATGGAAATGGAGCCCCATTATCTCCCTCCAGTAGTGGGCCCATTATGTAAAGGGAGCAATGACAGAGATGACTCCATTTTGAATGAGAGAGGCACTTTAAAAGCAGACATCTAAAGAGACTGAGAAACAACAGACCTCTCAGAGAAATAACAAACCCCTTACCAAAATAACAAATGCAGCTGCACAATGTGAGAAGTGGACCCCAAGGCCAGGAAGAGCTGACCATTCCTTCTTGGAATGCTCATTTTGATAAGGAGAGGGATAGACAGGAGGCCTAGTTCAGCAAGAAGCCAGCCAATCACAAATGCAGTTTGAAGTAGAATAGTTGTACCTAAGCCAGTTAGTGACCGCATCATCTCCTAGACTTCATTCAGCCATTATTTGGCTTAGCTTTTTCTCTACGTCCCATCCATCAGAACGTTTTGCTATCCTTTCAATAAACTTTGTGCTGGCTTTACTCCTAACTAGTGGTCCAGTGTCTTCAATCTGCCTATGCCAGACACAAACTTGGAATCAACAATCCAGTATCAAGAATAGTGATGCTCTCAGAGGCTGCTTTGTCCAGAAAGGAAATTTTTAGAGGTTCCTTGCTCAGACTCCTTGTGCTAAGATTCTGCCCTTACGTTTAGTTTCTGACAGGAAATCCTACAGCCTCTCACCCAGGGTGGCATCTAACAGACTTAGATGTGTGTTCCACTCAAATGCCTCCCCGCTGGGAAAGGGAAATCCTGTGGTAATAGTAAGATTCAGTAGATAATGCCCTGTGCTGGGAGTCAGGAGGCAGGTTACATATCTTGAGCAAATAGGCTTTTGATAGCCCCTTCCAGGAATGAAATGATTCATGGTCCAGGGACCATGTGCACCTGTGAATTTATTCATGATCCTCTCTGAAGTTTGAAAGCAGCTTACAAAATTCAACGTGGTTACATTTTCTTTTGCAGGTGTAGAGCCAAGGGCTAAGATTAAACCAAAGGGAGGCAAATCACCAATTTTTAAAATGGAAAAACTACAAAAAGGCCTTTTAACAGGGTTTTCTTTTGAATATTGGAATTGGGAGAAATTACTTTCTTTTACATACTTTTTCTGCTTCCCAAAATGGTCATGAATTATTTTTCCAATTAGAAAAACAACTTTAATGGGCTTGCCTGGTTATCATTTCCCTCATCCTATGCTGACTGCTGTTAGGCAGAGATAGACAATTCAACTTCCTCATAAGCATATGACTCAGAATTCCTTTATTGCCTGGCAAAAGTATAAAAAAATCGCCACCAGTCAGTAAGAATTTTGCTAAAGTAATAAAATGTGTCACGAGATTCTATGCCTTTTACCATAAAGGAATAAAAACATCTAGGAGCCCTGTTTGTGTACATCAGTGTTTTGGAGATGGAGACAGGGAAAGAGGACATGTGCTCTATAGAGTGGGATTTGAGTCCACCCATTGTGAGAGTCAGTTAAGCCAAATCCTATGAGCAGGAGCCTGTTTTCCCTTGGCAATGAACTAGTTGTTTCAATGATATTTGTTCTCATCTTCTTCCAAGCTCTATTCTTTTCTTTTTTTTTCAATACTAGGACTTGAACTCAGGGTCTTGCACCTGCTAGGCAGGCACTCTACAACTTGAGCCACTCTGCCAGCCCAGTCATGCAATTCTTGAATGAATTATATATAATAATCTTTACAGTCAAGTTTGCTGTTGTGTTTTTTTCTTTTTTTTTTTTTTCAGCACTGGGGTTTGAACTCAGGGCCTCATGCTTGCTAGGTACTTTGCCACTAGACTCACTTTACCAGCCCTTTTTTGGGTTGGGTATTTTTCGAGATAGAGTCTCAAGAACTATTTCCCTGGGCTGACTTCAAACCATGATCTTCCTGATCTCTGCCTCCTGAGTAGCTAGGACTACAGGTGTGAGCCACCGATGCCTGGCTATTTACTTATTTATATTTGCAGTGCTAGGGATTGAACCCAGGACCTCAGACAGGTGTTCTATCCTTGAGCAACTACATTCCCAGCCTTGAATTCTTGATTATTTTTTGAAAAGAATTTTTTTTTTAATTTGGAGATATTTGCATTATTTTAAATGATTGCTATAAAGGTTTTATTGACATTTTCAGATCTCAAACTTTTTTGCATAATTCAAATTCACAGAAAACGAGACCACAATGATCAATCCATATAGAAGATACTAAATTGTTGAACACTATCATTGCTTTAAAAAATGTTTTGGGGGTCATATCAAAAGACTTGGGGTGTACAATCCCAGGAGATATTTAATAAGCGTGTTCTATAAGGAAACTGTTGAGTGAAATGTAAGAAGTATCATTTATTTCATATTACTTCATTCGAACAGGCATGCAAAACAATCTCCAGGGTGTCTAGAAACTCCGGACATATAAATACAGGTAATGCTGTCCAGGACATTTTTCATATAACATGCAAGTGCATGTGTGTGCGCATACACACACACACAGTGGTGACTTTATGTAGAATTGAATCAAGTTCCACCTACCTGGAATCTGATTTAGTGTCACCCAGAAATGTTTATCTGGAGAACAGGTGTCCTTTGACCACTCAAGAAGATCACGGGCCCTCTGATTTTCAAGAACAAAATTAGCAAATTCCTTTGTAAGGGCCACATAGGCAGAACCAAAGTAAATGGTCAGACTATGAGGAGAAGGGTTTTTTCTTATCCAAGTCCCCAGGATGAAGGAAACCAGTGGGAATCTCTGCTCCAAATGCACATACTTGGTCCTTTTTTTAATATGAGCTGGGGGCAGCACTCCTAGGGTTAGATTCTTCCCTTTAAATCCTTTCAGCTACTGAACGATTTCCTTGTTGGTTTTCAGGGGGAAATCTTGCCCACAGGTGTTGATGAGATACTTCCACGGGACCTCAGAGGCCATGAGATCCTTCATGCAGTTCAGGTCAGCCTGGAGTCTGGAGATCCCGCCATAGACCACAAATTCTTGCTTTGAAGCCAGGAAAGCATTTGGGAAGCAGCTGAGTCGCCTTCCCACAGCCTCTTTGAAAGCAGCTGGTGCCTTCTTATCCACGTGGACGCAGTAGACATTTTGGGGCATATAGATGGCCCTGAAAAGCCTCTCAAATGTATCAAAGTCTTTATGAATGACCATGACATAGGCCAAAGGGAAGGTAGCTTCATCTTTAGACAGAGGCTTCAGTACGTAGTGGTTTTGGATCAAGTATTCTTGGCAAGTTTTATTTCTTAATGGTGTCACTGGTATATTTTCACCCAAGAATTTTCTTTCTCCTGTCACAATCGTGTCACAGACTTCTGAGAGGACTGAAACATTTGAGATTTTTCCCACTCACAGGCATTTTTGTGGGACGAAATTGTTGGTGTACAGGAACAAATGAGTTACTGACACAGCCATGAGCCCTGTGATCAACCCAAACACCTTCCGCTTCATTTTTCCTATGACCTTGTCGTCTTGATTTGTCACCATCTGACATCATACCATTGTCAATGCCAGTTGATGGGTCCATACCCAGACTGGGTAGAATGCAATAACTCCTTTATTTTCAGCAAGGAGAGAAATTCAGCAAGAAATTCCATAAGGAAGAGGGATCAGTAACAAGTTTGAAGTTCGTCCCTGATTTTGAAGGAATTGAGTGGACCTGAGGGCCTGTGTCATTGGGATCACATGACCATTTAAATAAGAGTTGTGCACAGTTGGGCACCTCCACCTAGGTCAATGCCACATAAACACCCTGCCAATTTGGCCACACCTGCCAACTCAGGGTGGTCTTCCTTTATGAGGTGAAGGTAGCATGTGTGCTGGTTTTGCAGCCCTTGTCCTCCAGAAAGGGCCACCATTACAATCACCGATGTCACCTTTGAATACAAGGGACACTGTGTTTCTTCAGCTGCAGGCAGTCACAGTTGTCCCGAGGCAGGGACACCATTGACATTAACAGCCCCAGAATTGCTTAGTAGCAATTGCTGAATAGCTTGATCTAAAAATAAAGATCAAGAATTCATAGCATTTCAGGGCTGGAGGATAAATATAGATTATTCATACCAACTCACTCAATTTACCAATGGAGGGTAGTGAAGTCGAACTATAGCTAATATTCCATCATACCTTGTCTCCATTGCCTTGCTGACAACCTGTGAGGTAAGCATTGACCTTATATCCACTTTGCACATGAATAAAATAGCACCCAAAGATATGCTGACTTGCCTGGTGTCTACTAAGGAGCTAATAGCAGTACAGGGTCTCAACCTGAACTTTCTTTCTTTCTTTTTGTTTGAGACAGGGTCTCACTGTGTTGTCCAGGCTAGCCTGGAAGTCCTGAGCTCAAGTGACCCTCCCGCTCAGCCTCCAGCTGGGACTCCAGGCACATACCACCCCACCAGGCTCTCAGACCTGACTTTTCTGACTCCACAGGCCTTCTAGTTAAAATATTCTGTTTCTCTACCTTTTCTGAGTTCTTGCTTATCTTCCAGGTATGTGACACAGCTTTCCCAGTGATCCTGGCTTGCCCTCCCAAGTCTGGGACCTCACTCCCCCCCCCAGCAATGACATCTCTGTAAAGATGCTTCTGTTTGCTCTCCCAGTAGCTGGAGTACTATTTCTGTCTGTGGATCACTGTGTTCTTAGCACCTCACTCAGAGTAGACACTTATCAGTAAATGAAGTCCTGTTCCCCTTCTTTACGTTACACAACAGGTCAGAAAATCTATGTCTGGGGTTCTAGTCGAGTCTGCAATGTTTTTATACAGCCTGCGAGGTTAAGAATGATTTTACAATTTTAAGTTGTTGGGAAAAAAATCCAAAGAATTAAAATATTTTGTGAGATGAACATTATATGAAATTCAAAGTGCAGTGTCTGTAAATACAATATCATTGGAACCTAGCCACACTCTTCTTTTACACATTGTGGTTCTTTCACATTGCAGCAGAGTTGGGTTGTTGTAACCTAAAATATTAGGCTAGCCACTAAAAGCTAAAATTGTCATCAACAGACCCTTATCAGAAAAGGCTTGCTGATCTTCTCCATGTCTGTGGGTGCCCTGTGTACCATGTTTGCATTACATCAAGATGACTACTGCAAGCAGGGCACTGGTGGCTCACTCAGGAGGCAGAGTTTAGGAGGATCGTGGTGTTCTCAAGACCCTGTCTCAAAAATACCCAACACAAAGCAGGGTTGGTGGAGTGGTTTGAGATGTAGGCCCTGAGCTCAAGCTCCAGTACTGATAAAAAGAAGGTGACTATTGTAGATGTGGTATAATTTTATTTTTTCTGTAGATTTCCTGGTGACTGTTAGAATGATGCCATATTTGGTAGCAGAGTATGAGCTCTAAAGAGAGACTTGTGTGGTTGAGTTCAATAGCATGCAGGAGGCTGAGAGAGAGAGAGAGAGAGAGAGAGAGAGAGAGAGAGAGAGATGTGTGAATTTGGATTCTGGTTTTGCTGGTTCCTGGTTCCTAGCTGTGTGACCTTGAGCAAGTTACTTTACCTTTCATTTCAGCATGTTTGTAAAATAAAGGTAAGACCATCAGGGTTATTTTGTGAGTCCTTAAGTTAAAAAGTGAACTGCGCTTTGTGCAAACTTTGACACATGGTACATACTCTCAAATGCTAGCTCCTGCACAAGGTCACCTCTGGCTGTGTCACACTGATAATGCTCAGAAATTGATAGCACTGTTCTGGCCTCCATCATGGCCCAAGCTTTGGCAAGATTCGGTGCTGCCACACAGTGGCCCTGTACGGAGTAGCTCAACGTGTCCTTTCTTTCTTTCTGGGGGCTGAAAACCTGTGGGCGAGAGGAAGGGAGAATTTTCATGTCTTCATGGCATTTTATTCGCCACCAGACTGTGAGCAGCTCGAGGGGAGGAAAACTCTTTGGAGATGTATTGAGTGGCTTGATGCGGCATTTGGGGGACACTGAAAAGCTTACCCAAGTCCTCAGCCCATCAGGCAGCCACCGTATTCCCAAGGACACTTAAAAGATTCTGTAAGGAGGCGCTTTGTGTAAGTGGGTTATTATCCATGAAGAGTGACATAGTAATAGTTGTTACATACTTTGTTAAGTCATTAACAACTGAGGACACCCAAAGTAGGTTCTGAAAAAACTGGACAAGGGACACATGAGATTAGGAAGACAAGCAAGCCAGGCCCGGGATGTGGGGTGACAGTGGGATGCTGTGGAATGTGCTGGCAGGAAAGCCATTGACTCTGGCAGCAATCATAGTGAATGCCTAGACTGGAAGGCATATATCACCATGTTAACAGTGGCCATCTTTGAGTTGTAGTATTACTAATGAATTATTTTTGTTACTTTCACTCTCTCCCCAAGCATGCTTGCTTTTAAAAAGGGGAAAATAATTTATTTAGTCTCATTTTTAAGAGCAAAATGTTGCTATCCAGCAATGTCAAAATAGACATTGCCTCTGTTCCCAGTGTATTGCAGTGTACTCAACACAGGCATCCTGAGAAAGTATTGTGTTTCTAAACTATGGTAGGAGGTCAGAAATTCCTCAGAGGAATTATGCTAATGAAAAGATTTGAAGTTTTCATTAAATTCTTTTCAGTGTCCAGGAAAATTTGATTCTGATTAATGAAATGAAAAGACAATTCAGTAGGAAATGAAACCACTGTCCTCCTTCCTATGCATCATCTCACTGCAGGAAAGACTGATGGGGGCACAGACACGATCCTCCCTGCTCAGCTCCTCCCTCTGCCCATTTCTTGACTTCTGACCTTGAGGCTGCTGAGGCACAAACGTTTTCTCTGTATTTACTATCGTTTGGGGCCAGGTGCTCATAAAATGGAACCATGGACTGTTAATTAAAACAGTGCCTTAAATCAATGTTTTCTTGTGTTTTACTGTCTACTGGTTTAAGTGTCTACTAGTTATTGATCAACTCTTATTATGGATATATCCTGCAAAAAAGGTGATTTGAGAACTTCTAGGTCAAGTTGTAGCATGTGTTAGAATTCACTTTGCTTTATTGTTGATTAGCATTCTACTGTGTGTGTATGTCACATTCATCTGTGCATGGACACGAGCTGTTTTTACTGTTGTGAGTAATGTTGCTGTGAGCATGGGTGCTCAAGTATTTGTTAGAGTCCCTGATTCCAACTCTGTCTTAGTCTGCTTTATGTAGCTACAAAAGAAGGCACAGAATGGACAGGAATGTACTGGCTCACTGTTCTAGAAACTAGGAAGTCCAGTATTAAAGTGCTGCCATCTGGAGAGGGCCTTCTTGCGGCATTGTACGTGGTGGCTAGAGAAAGGGCAAAGAGAGAGAGAGAGAGAGAGAGAGAGAGAGAGAGAGAGAGAGAGAGAGAGAGAGAGAAGCCTCTTTTACAATGGCATGAATCCCAATCAAAAGGGAACAGTCTCCATGGTCTAATCCCCTCTTAAATAACACAAAGGAATTAAATTTCAATGTGAGTTTTGGAGTAGACAAACATTCAAACCATCTCAAACTCTCTTGGGGGATATACTTAGAAATGGAGTTTCTGGCCATATGGTAACTCTATGTTTGACTTTCTGAGGGCTGTTAAACTGTTTTCCACAGTGGCTATGACACTTTACACTTCCACCAGCAATGCACCAATTTCTCCACATCCTCACCAGCACTTGTTCTTTTCTAGTTTTTTTTTTTTTTTTTTTGGTAGCAGCCATGCTAATGAGAGTGTGTCCAAACTTTTTTTTTTGATACTAGAGTTTGACTCAGGGCATCATATTTGCTAAGTAGGTGCTCTACCTCTTGAGCCATACTTCCAGTCATTTTATGCTTTAGGTTTTTTTTTTGGATAAGGTCTTGCACTTTTTGTCCAGTACCTATGCCTCCTACATAGCTGGATTATAAGCATGAACCACCATACCTGGCTTGTTTGTTGAGGTGAAGGTCTCTCTAGCTTTTTGCTCAGACTGGTCTCAGGTTGATACTCCTGACTCTGTCTCCCAAGTAGTTGGGATTACATGTGTACACCACCATGCCTAGTCCCCAACTCATTTTACATAGACTAGTACTTTTCATAAGTCCTATGCAAGCAAAGAGTGCCATAGAGACACTTGGGCAATGATGGGTAGTACATTCAGCAAGTATGAGATGTCACATTCTTTCAGATGAAGAGAATTCAGTTGGAAAATGCCAGACACATTTGGGTTGTTCGTTTGCTTGTTTTGGTGGTACTGGAGATTGAATCAATGCCTTGTGCCAGCCAGGCAAGTGCTTTACCTCTTCAGCCATGCCCTGAGCACAGACACACTTGTTTTAAAAACACTTCTCAAAAAGGAGTTTTTTTCTGTCTTACCAGAACAATTGACTCCACCAAAGCACTCAATATATTGATTCCTATACTTAATATTACTTAAAAAAAAAACATTGTAGGCTAGTCTCTCCTCTTGTTGGAGCACAGTCTAGCATAATAGTGGCTAGACAGATGCATATGCATACACATGCACACATTCATGCATGAATGTGTGACTGTGCACAATTACATACTTCTTTTTCACTCAGAAAAATCAAAAACATGCTTTTTTTTTTTTTTAAAAGTCAGGCATTCCAGCAGACCAAGGATTCCTACCTTCACTTTGAGAAAAGTTTAAATTTTACTTCACACATTTCTGCATCATTGAAATATCAGGAAGTTTTAAAATGAGATAAATTGCTACAAAAACACAAATATGTTAACAGAAGTACAAAGGAGTGGATGAGGTCTAGGTTGAGAAAGAAAATAAACCAGGGGAAGCTGGGTGCCAGTGGCTCATGCTTGTATTCCTAGCAACTCAGGAGGCAGAGATCAGGAGGATTGAGGTTTGAAGCCAGCCCAGGCAAATAGTTCTTGGGATCCCATCTCAATTACACCCAACACAAAAAAAAGGGCCTGTGGAATGGCTCAAGGTGTAGGCCTTGAGTTCAAATCCTAGTACCACAAATAAAATAAAATAAAATAAACCAGGGGACAATACATTCTATAAAATTTGGGCTCAGGAACAAATTTTTGTAACAATTGTAAAATAAAAGCACTTTGGAGGCAGAAACAAGAGGATTGCAAGTTTCAGGCCAGTATGGGATCCATAGTAAGAGCATGAACCCCCAAAAAACCAAATAAAAACAAACACAAAATACAAGAAAAGAAAAGAAATGGAATGATGTATTTCAAGAAAATAACTCTCAACCTAGATTATTGCATCCAGCAAACTTGCCTCCTACACTAAACAACTAAATGAATAAATGACAACTAAACCAGCACTTCAGGAGATGCTTGAAGGAATCTTACACACAGAGGACAGAGATAAATGTAACCATAAGAACATGAGAAAAAAATAAATCTCAATAGATGATCAGGAAAACAAATGAAGAGTAGGAAAGAATCAGACACTACAAAAACAACAAAATGATAGAAATCACCACACACTTTCCTTATTGTTAATGGTCCCAAACAAAAAACTCAGACTGGCAGGTTGAATTAACAATCAAGCCCCAATCATTTTTTTGCTACAGAAAACACATCTCACTGGAAAAGAGACACAGACTTCAAGTGGAATAATGGAAAAAGATCTTCCATAAAACAAACACTACTAGACATACAAACACAGCCTCCACAGAATAATAGTCTATAACTTCAATACCCCATTCTCACCAATAGATAGATCATCCAGACCCCCCCAAAAAAAAAATCAACAAAGAAATTTCAGAATTAAAATGATAATATAAATCAAATGGACGTAACAGACATTTACAGAATACTCCAACCAACATCCTCAGAATAAACATTTTTCTTGGCAGCCCATGGAATTTTCTCCAAAATAGATCATATTTTAGGACATAAAGCAAGTCTTTACAAATATAAGAAAAATTGAAATAACCTCCTGTATTTTATCGTAATACAATGGAATAAAACAAGAAATCAACAATGAAAGAAACTACAGAAAATGTTCAAACACATGGAGACAGAGCAACACCGTTGAATAGTCAGTGGGTTGTTGAAGAAATAAAGGGAGAAATAAAAAAATTTCCTAGAATCAGATGAAAATGAAAACACAATGTGCTAGAACCTTTGAGACACTGCTAAAAGTTTATAGCTATTAATGTCTACATTAAAATTTGGAGGGAGTTCAAGTTGATAACCTAATGATGTACCTCAAGCTCCTAGAAAAACAAGAACAAGCTAAACCCAAAGTTAGTAAGCAGCAAGAAACAATAAAGATCAGGGCATAAATTAATGAAATTAACATTTAAAAAATACAAAGAATCAATGAAATAAAAAGTTGGTTCTTTGAAAAGATAAACAAGATTAACAAACTCTTAGTCAAACTAACGAAAAGAAAAAGAAGACCCTAAAGGAAATGCAAATCAAAACCACACTAAGATTCCTTCTCACCTCTGTTAGAATAGCCATCATCAAAAACACCACCAACAACATGTGTTGGCAAGGATGCGGTGGGGGGGGGGGGGAAGAAACCCTAATCCACTGCTGGTGGGAATGCAAGCTGGTACAACCACTCTAGAAAAAAATTTGGAGACGTCTTAAAAATCTAAACATAGACCTGCCATATGATCCAGCAATCCCACTCTTGGGGATATACCCAAAGAAATACAACACAGATTACTCCAGAGGCATCTGCACACCCATGTTTATTGCGGCACTATTCACAATAGCCAAGTTATGGAAACAGCCAAGATGCCCACTGTTGATGAATGGATCAAGAAAATGTGGTACTTGTACACAGTGGAATTTTACTAAGCCATGAAGAAGAATGAAATCTTATCATCTGCAGGTAAATGGATGGAACTA